TTGCCCAGGGCTACACCTTTTCCTTCCGTCTCCCTTCTCGCCGCCTCACTTTGGCCCGTGCCCCTCCCCAGCTTCGACTGCTCGGACCGGCAGTTCCACTCAGTGGCAGCAGCCTGGCAGGCCCGCCTGGAGAGCCCCGCTGACGTGAAGGAGCTCATCCCAGAGTTCTTCTACTTCCCCGATTTCCTGGAGAACCAGAACGGTAGGCACTGGGTGGGGGTGGGAAGCGTGGAGATGGAGGGTGGACGGGGAGCTGGTAAAGAAGGCTTAGCGAGACAGCTGACCCAGCTTTCTGTGCCAGGCTTTGACCTGGGCTGCCTCCAGCTGACCAACGAGAAGGTGGGTGACGTGGTGCTGCCCCCATGGGCCAGCTCTCCTGAGGACTTCATCCAGCAGCACCGCCGGGCGCTGGTGAGATGTGCGCACACATACTGGCAGGTGGCCAAGGGGAGGGCCGAGGCGGAGGGTCCATTGTTCCTGGACTGATGGCCGCCTCCCTGCCCCCAGGAGTCAGAGTATGTATCCGCCCACCTGCACGAGTGGATCGACCTCATCTTTGGCTACAAGCAGCGGGGGCCAGCTGCGGAGGAGGCCCTCAATGTCTTCTATTACTGCACCTATGAGGGTGAGCAGTGCCCTGGACACCGGTGGGGGTTGGGGTGCAGAGAAGGGGGCGTGCAGGGGGCGCAGAAGGAGTCCTGACTGCCCGCCCTTGCCACCTCCCACCTGCCGATGCTCAGGGGCTGTGGACCTGGACCAGGTGGCAGATGAGCGGGAGCGGAAGGCACTGGAGGGCATCATCAGCAACTTCGGGCAGACGCCCTGTCAGCTGCTGAAGGTAAGGCCGGCTGGGAAGACTGTGGTCAGGGAGGCCCTGGCCGCGGTGCTGAACGGTTCCTTGCCCACAGGAGCCCCATCCAGCTCGGCTTTCCGTTGAGGAAGCAGCCCAGCGCCTTGCACGTCTGGACACTAACTCACCTAGCATCTTCCAGCACCTGGACCAGCTGAAGGCCTTCTTTGCAGAGGTGAGAGGAGGCGGGGTCTCAGCTTCCTACCCGGTGAAGTTCATTTAATTCCATGGTCCTTGCCAGCCTCTTGGAAATGGAAAACCTAAATCAAAGTCCCTGATATTAAGACATCTTAGAAATAAGAGGCAAACATCACTGAGTGTGGGGTGCCATCTTCAGGAGGGAGGGTCAGGCCAGGTTGACTCACCTGATCATCCTTAGGGAGAACAGAAGGAGGGAATCCTGCCTCAGTACTCTCCTCACCTTCCCGCCTGCATCCCAGAAGGCCCCCAGCTCTAAGGTGTTCACTCCTCTCCTCATGCTAGCAGGCTCGGAGATGTGGAGTCGTGGGGTGGGATGACCAAGGTTGAAACCAAGTTTGAAGGATCTTCCTTGTCCATCTGGTTTCTCACTCACTTCCTGAGATGCCCTGAAGGCCCCCTAGCGTCTGCATATTTCTCAGAGTGACCTCTTCCTCTGTAATGTGACAACCTGGGGGGGAGGGCCAAGAAGGTAGCATGCTGGGGGCTCTAGCTGGCTGCTCGGGTAGCCAGTCCCACCCTGCCCCTGCAGGTCATCAGCGATGGCGTGCCCCTGGTGCTGGCCTTGGTTCCCCACCGGCAGTCTCATTCTTTCATCACGCAGGGCTCCGCAGACCTGTTGGTAAGTGCCCCAGGCTGGGCCCCACCTCAGCTCCACCCCTGACTCGGCCCCAGCCCACCTCTGTCCTCTCTTGCCCAGGTGACCGTGAGTGCCAGTGGGCTGCTGGGGACCCACAGCTGGCTGCCCTATGACCGAAACATAAGCAACTACTTCAGCTTCAGCAAAGACCCCACCATGGGCAATCCCAAGTAGGACAGAGGGTTGTGGGCCAGGGTGGGCTCTAAATGCTCTGGCCAAGGTCTCTGAAGGCGAGGGTCTCCTGTGTAGCCTGGCCTCACCTGTGGTCCTCCTCACTGGGTCAGGATGCAGCGACTGCTGAGCGGCCCCTGGGTTCCAGGCTGTGGTGTGAGCGGGCAGGCCCTGGCAGTGGCCCCGGACGGAAAGCTGCTGTTCAGTGGTGGCCACTGGGACGGCAGCCTGCGAGTGACTGCGCTGCCCCGGGGCAAGCTGCTCAGCCAGCTCCGCTGCCACCTTGGTACGCGCTGCCTGGGGGCCCGGGGTGTGTGGAGGGGCGCAGGGCTCCGGGCAGGCCAGGGAGGGATAACTGCTCTGTTTCCCCTCTTCCCCCTCCCCTCCCTCTTCCCCGTCCCGTCTCCTCCCTCTCCTCCTCTCCCCCACGCAGATGTAGTAACCTGCCTTGCGCTGGACACCTGCGGCATCTACCTCATCTCAGGCTCCCGAGACACCACATGCATGGTGTGGCGGCTCATGCAGCAGGTGTGCTGGGTGGCAGCCCCGTGGGGCCCCCTTGGTCCAGATCTGCGGCCCATCTGCCCCTCAGTGGGCCTGCAGTCCTACCCTGCTCTCCTCCCCTTCCTACTGCTGCTGTGAGCAAGTCTGTGACTCCAGCTGTCTGACTTTGAACCAGACCTTCACTTTTCTGAGCTTTTAGCCTTCTCACTCTGGGGCCAAGGTGGTGGGATGCGCCAGTCCTGAGCCAGCCCTGGTGTTCCCCACAGAGTGGTCTCTCGGTGGGGCTGGCATCAAAGCCCGTGCAGGTCCTATATGGGCATGAGGCTGCTGTGAGCTGTGTGGCCATCAGCACTGAACTTGACATGGCAGTGTCCGGATCTGAGGTGTGTGTTTGCCTGTGCCCAAGGGAGGCTGTTTGCTGGGCCCTGCCCCTGGAGCTCAGACGCCTGTGCCCAGCACCCTAAGCTGCCTTCCTGCAGGATGGAACTGTGATCATCCACACCGTACGCCGTGGCCAGTTTATGGCCACACTCAGCCCTCCGGGAAGCACGTTGCCTGGACCTGTGTCCCACCTGGTGCTGGGGTCTGAGGGCCAGATTGTGGTGCAGAGCTCAGCAAGGGAGCGTCTGGGTGCTCAGGTATGGGAAAGGGGCACCCAGCCAAGATGGGGGGGTTGGGATTCTGTCCTTGCTAACACATCCTGCTTCCTCCAGGTCACCTACTCCTTGCACCTGTACTCAGTGAATGGGAGGTTGCGGGCTTCACTGCCCTTGGTGGAGCAGCCCACAGCCCTTGCGGTGACAGAGGACTTTGTTCTGCTGGGCACAGCCCAGTGTGCCCTGCACATCCTCCACTTGAACAAGTGAGCCTCACTATTTGTGGGTTTGTGATCCCTCAGTTCAGTTCAGTTTAGTCGCTCAGTCGTGTCTGACTCTTTGCAGCCCCATGGACTGCAGCACGCCAGGCCTCCCTGTCCATCACCAACTCCTGGAGCTTACTCAGACTCATGTCCATCCAGTGGGTGATGCCATCCAATCATCTCATCCTCTGTCGTCCCCTTCTCCTCCAGCCTTCAATCTTTCCCGGCATCGGGGTCTTTTCCAATGAGTCAGTTCCTCGCATCAGGTGGCCAAAGTATTGGAGTTTCAGCTTCAGCATCAATCCTTCCAAGGAATAGTCAGAACTGATTTCCTTTAGGATGGACTAGTTGGATCTCCTCGCAGTCCAAGAGACTCTCAAGAGTCTTTTCCATCACCACAGTTCAAAAGCATCGATTCTTCAGCGCTCAGCTTTCCCTGTAGTCCAACTCTCACATCTATACATGACTACTGGAAAAACCATAGCTTTGACTAGACAGGACCTTGGTTGCCAAACTGATGTCTCTGGTTTTTAATATGCTGTGATCCCTCAGGTGGTGGTTTTTGGCAGAGGGATACTAGGAGGTGTCCCGTGGACCCTCACCCCTTTACATGCCTGTGGACACATTCTTCAAGGCCTGTCTCTGTCCTCCCATCCCCCAGTGGGGAGATCTTGCCCTGGGCCTCCCTTAGGCACACACTTTTGCAGGACCCCTTTATTCAGGATTTTCCTCCAGCCATCCTTCAAATGAGGACTGGGAGGTGGATGGGAGAATGAAGAGACAACTATGTGCTGGATGCAAAACTCCTTGCAGTTGCGAGTTTGTACATATTACCTCCTTCCCTCCCTCCAGACTGCTGCCAGCCGCTCCTCCCCTGCCCATGAAGGTGCCAATCCGCAGCGTGGCTGTGACCAAGGAGCGCAGCCACGTGCTCGTGGGGCTGGAAGACGGCAAGCTCATCGTGGTGGGCGCAGGGCAGCCCTCAGAGGTGAGGATGTGGGCAGGGCGGGCCTTGCACAGTGTGGAACATTGATCCTGGCTGACCCATCCCTGCTCCCTCTAGGTGCGCAGCAGCCAGTTTGCGCGGAAGTTGTGGCGGTCCTCCTCCCGGCGCATCTCCCAGGTGTCCTCTGGGGAGACAGAGTACAACCCTGGAGAGGCGCGCTGACAGCCCGCCCCGCCGCCCCGCCCCCAGCGGGCTTCGCCCCAGTAGACCCCGCCTCGGAGCCCGCGGGGAACACCCGGCCCACACCCAGGCGGGGGTGGGCGGGGCCCCCCTCTGCCCAGCTCAGGGATTGGCGGGCCATGTCACTCCAGGAAATCTTGCCCCTCGCCGGCAGAGGGGCAGCCCGGAGTCCCAGCACTGGCCCCAGCGGCCGCACAGCACTTTTTGCACAGTTTGGGGTGGGGAGCCCAGGCTCCCGATCCCCGGTCCCGGCGGAGCACAGGGGCCGGGCTGTGGCCTTAATCCTAAGGGCGGCCCCCCGCTCTCGCATCTCAGCAATAAACATGGACTAGTTTTGTAGCTGTTCTGCCTCCGAGCTTGTGTGCGCGCGTCTCCACCGGCCCTGGCCACTGCCCTGGGCTGGCGTCCCCTGGTCCATGAGCACCCACGCTGCACCATTCCTCAGCCCCCCAAGTACGCCACCCCTGTCCCTAGGGGCCCCGGCCACTGTTTCTCTGGCAGCTTCACACCCAGTCCCACTTAAGGCTCACCTCCACGCATGTGCGCGTTCCTGGGCCGGGCGGGGCCAGACCGTGGGCGGCCCCGCCCCCATCATCGCCCCGCCCCCTCTGTGTCCAGTCCTCTGCCGCCGCCCGCTTTCGTCTCCGCCGGGTGAAAACCTGGCCTCTCCAGGGACTCCACTGCGTGTTCCCTGCTGGCTTAAGGCCAGGAGGCCCCATCCTGCAGGCAGAGCCGATCCTGGGACCGACGGAGGGTCAGCTACCACAGGTCAGGAGTGGGTTGGGGACACAGCGTCGGGTCTTCCTGGAAGGAGGGAGCCGTGGCTGCCTCTCTGTACCTCCCCCATTCTGGACCCAAAATCTGCGCGGTTGCGGTGCCAGCATCTGGGTTGGGATGCCTGTGGGAAGTCAGGGTAGTGTGGGCGTTTAGGATGTTGCTGTGTGCGCATGTGTGCATATTTGTGGGCCTCCAGATGGGTATGTGTGGAGGAGGGGTTGGTAGAGGCTCCAGTCTCGCAGCAGCTCGAGGTGGATTGGGCACAAGGCCTGGCTGTCTCTGCAAGCTAGCGTTAGTCACAGGCTTACCCGCCAACCCCGATCCAGGCAAGGTTCCTTATGTGGTAAGTGACACAACTGTACATACACATCCTTCATGTTGCAAAGGTGGCCACAGGTTCCATGCCAGACCCGCTTGTCTAGTGTGCAGCTTTGCTGTCCACATCCGCCCCTGGCCTTATGGAGGGAAGTGAGTTTGGAGTGCCGGGGTTGGGCCAGATGTGGATGTTGGGGAGTTACAGGACTTTCCCCCAGGTCTCATCTCCATCCCTTTTCCAGGCAAACTCCCCTTCTCTGCCCAGTCCAGGGTCTCTTCCCCAGGCCTCAGGAGGTAGGTCCCAGCAGGATCAGCCCTGTAAAGGCAGAAGGGTCCTGGGACTGTGTGTTCTTCAGATTTCCAGCCTGCAGGCCCTTTCCAAATTCCCAGATAAGAAAGGGCCCGGGTACCTCTGGGCCCACATGCCCTCTGCGTTTGCTGAAACCAAGGAAGCCTCCCATCCTGCCCCTGACCAGGAGGTAAGGGCTGGACACTGACCCTGGAGGCAGGAGTGGGAGTTAGTCACCCCAGGAACTGTGCTCTTCTGAGAACTCTGGGGAGCTCCCATCAGCCAATGAGTCTCCGCCTGGCTCTGGCTTATGGGGGACGGGAGTCCCCCTGGTCTTCCTGTGCTGTCTCGGGACTCAGACGTGGGGTTTGCCAAGGTCTTTGAGACAGCTGCACTCTGGTCTCCTCCAGCTTTGGCCAGCTGGGACCAGTAGTATCAGCTCCACCCTGTTTGACACCAGAGGAAACTGGTCCAGATTGGTGAGTGGGAAGATGGGTAGGTACGCAGCCCTGGAATGAATCAGGATGATATGAGGCAGCAGAGGGGGCAGATTACCCCAAGGGACTCCTGACTTGCAGCCTGAGGAATTCCCCCTTTGTTCCTACATACAGCCCCTGCTGGACTCAGAGGTCTCCCAGCTCCTTTTCCTGTGGGCAGCTCGCGACACTCCAAAAACCTTTTCTAAGAAGTGCAGCCACTGGGAGCACTGCTAGCTGGTAGAACCATGCTGCAGAACTCCAGCCACAGGGAAGCCGTGGTCCATGTGGGTAAGTACTTTTCGATCCAGATTTTGGGCCCTGGGTAGGATGGGAGGTATCCATGCATTCAGGTCGTCACAGCTCTGGAGCCTCTTGTGCCCTGCCTGCACTGGATTGTAGGGACAACTGACTTGCCGGCAGAAGTGAGCAGCAGCATTTACTTGGCTTCCAGCTCAGTGTTTTATTTATTTTTGGCTATCTGGGTCTTTGTTGCCGAGGGCTCTTCTCTAGTTGTGGCGAGCAGGGGCTACTCTTCGGTGTGCGTGGGCTTCTCATTGAAATGGTTTCTCTTGTGGAGCACGAACTCTAGACACAGGCTCAGTGGTGGTGCACAATGGGCTTAGTTGCTCCGCAGCACATGGGGTCTTCCCGGATCAGGGCTCAAACTCATGCCTCCTGCATTGGCAGGCTGATTGTTTATCACTGAGCCACCAAGGAAGCCCCTGGTTGTTTTATTTTGTAAAAATTTGCAAGGTCTCCTGTGCACAGAGGCTTCCATAGGGACTAGCATGAATCACTGTGCTTGCACAGACCAGCCTCGGTGGGGGTGAGAGGACACCGTTTGGTGCCATTGTAGACAGAGGAGGTGCACCAGGAGCCAGAAAAGGGAGAGACTGGGAGAGATCAAGGACAACTTGGAGAGGGTTCATCCAGGGCTAGGTGTCCAAGCGTGGCGAGCCAAGGGGAGGCTGTGGGAGGTGACGGTAGGGAATGAGCCAGTCAGCTTTTGATGTCATGGTATGAGCTTTTGTCACCCCATAGTAGGGGGCTACGATTTCCAGCCTTTCTAGCAGCAAAGTCGACTCCTGCCGCTGTCAGTCAAGCAAAATTGATTCCTTGCCGCTGACCCTGTCTGTCCTTTTCTCCACAGATAAGACCCAGAGGGAGCAGGACAGGGAAGGGGTGTGGGCAGCGGCAGGAGGAGCCCTGGCCCCCAGTACCTCCTCCCCATTCTCCCCTGAGCCTCCAGGGGCCTCGGGCAGCATCATCCCTGTCTACTGTGCCCTCCTGGCCACCGTGGTCCTTGGTCTGATCGCCTACGTGGTCTTCAAGTGGTAGGTGGTCTGGGCACTGCCCTGGGGTACCCCCCTCCCCGTCTGGACTCCCAGCCAGCTTGCCATCTCAGTGAAGGCTGCAGCAGGCTGGCAGGTTCCCCCTGCTCCCCACAGCTGGCGCTCACATAAACAAAGGCAGCAGCTGGCCAAAGCTCGGACCGCAGAGCTGGGGGCCCTCAGCAGGGACCAGCCGCATGGGGACAGCAGTGTCTTCCGGGACTCTCCAGCCAGCCTGGAGCCCTGTGCCCCCAGCCAAGGTGAGCCCCTTCCCTTACCTGTTGTCCTTTAGACCTGCCCAGCCCTGTTGTTCCACCAAGTCTGCCTAACCCTCACGTGCCCCTCACGTCTCCCTCCCCAGGGCCACCTCCTGAACTTGGCTGCCGGCTTTACCTCCATCTTCCTCGGCAGCAGCAGGAGGAAGTGGAACGGCTCCTGGAGGTGTCGGGTGAACTGGACGACGGCTGGCGGGGTCTGGCGGGCCGTCTGGGCTACCAGGCTGAGGCAGTGGAGACCATGGCCCGGAGCCCGGGGCCTGCCTCTGCCCTGCTGAGGGACTGGGCTGTCCAGGAAGGCAGTGGCGCCACCCTCAGAGCGCTAGCAGACGCCCTCGCTGCCATGGGTCGTGAAGATGTGGTCCGGGTCCTGGGCCCCCCGGCCGAGGGCTGCTCCGTGGTGTAAGTCGTGGCTCCGCAGCCCGGCCTCTCAGGGAACCTGCTCTGGTGCTCCCCACCACCCCCACCTCATGCACCTTCCCCTTCACGAGCTTCCTGGCATTGGTGACCTCGGCTTGTTCTGTTTCGGGGGACACACAAGTCCCCTCCCCTCCCCCTGCCTTCCTCCAGGACAGGGGTCAGGATGTGGGGGGGTGGGGGGAGACAGCCAGACAGGGAGCAGCAGTCCTGCCCCCCTGACCCCCACTCTACCTCCCCATGCTTAGTCAACTGTTTTTTCTACTTTTGTACCCCACATTAAAGGCAACTCTGGACTGTTGTTCTGGGTCTGTCTGGCTCCGTGGGCCTGTGAGAGAGACAGTTGGGTAACTAATGTGGCAGAGGCCCAAGAAAAGGCTGGGGTCCCTAAGGTGAAAGGCATCCCCGAGTTGGCAGGCAGTGTGCACCCGCAGAAGATGGGTGAATTCTGCGGGCAGAGTAGAGTTCACATCCTGCATCTGCCATTCCCCAGCTGAAGTGTGTTAGGAAGAACTTTCCTTTTTGAACTTAAGCTTCCTTAGCTGGAGAACAATAGACTGGCACGTTCAGAAGCCTCCCACCTGCTAGGACTCTCGACTTAGGTTTGAGACCATTTTCCTCATCTGTGCTGTGACTAGCCTCAAGGGGAGGCTGGAAGCCTGCCCCACTCCTGGGCAGGCAGTAAGAGGCAGACTGGTCCTGGGAAACTAGGACTCTGTTACCAAGGACTTCCAGGCATCTTTAGGTGAGAAAAAGGAAGAAAGTGTTCTCCTTTCAGGACCCACATTCCAGATTCAGGAGAGGGAGGTCCAAAGATACTTCCACACAAGCCAAGGAGAGGCAGGTCATCCCACCTACTTGAGGACAGGGCAGCTTCAGCCAGACCACCTGCACCCCTCACATACGGCCACCCTGAATGCAGGAGCGGCAGGTCCGTCACTGTGCTTTCAGGGTATTGCTACAGCAGACAGGCCCTGCCTAAGAAGGAACAATGCTACATCCTGGCATCCATCAGGATCGGAGTGCTCAAGAAATACAGCCACCTAAACTCAGCAGACGTGGATCCAGTCACCATCCAGGTGCCCAGGCTAGATCCCGTCCCCTTGCAGAGATGTGACCAGTGCTGGCTGTGCTGGGAGGCTGCTGCACCTGCTGTTCCTCAGAGTTTACCAGGGCTGCTTAACCCTGTAACCCATCCTTAAGATCAGGGCAGGTTTGGCACCACCCTCAAGCACCCTCTGGGCACCACCCAGAGATGACCCTTGGGCAATAACCCAGGAGAGAAAGGCTTCTGTTTGGTCAGCTTTAAACAGGCCAAAGCACTAGAGACATCACACCGGCAGGGAGTTGGCTAGAGGACTGTGAAGGATTAGATTGGCAATGAGTGTGAAATCCTGCATTGAGAGAAATGAATGGGCCCTGGATTAGCCGGTAACCCTCATCACCACTGAGGGGATTTGAGCCTAAAGGTTTCAAAGGGTGAGTGGAAGGGAAAGATTTTTGACAAAAACAAACAAACAACAAAACACTCCAGGGGAAATGACAGAATTCCCCTTCAAAATGGTCCTTTCTAAAACCTGGCAACTCCCTGGTCACCACCCTTTAACAAAAGGCTGCCTAGATTTCCTGGGAAAATGTGAAACCTGGAGCCTTGTGTAAAAGCATGAGCTGGGCTTGGTTGCAGTGCATATGCCTGCACCTCTGCATGGGAAACCTACCCCAGAGAGAAATACTTCTTTTTAATGTGCTCAAACACATTAGCTGAAACATCTTCCTTAATAACACTAAAATGTTAAGGGGGTTAAATTAAGGTTCCTCCATCTGATATAATATGCTTGAGTTAGGATTAATGGTGTAAGGCTGTATGAAGCCCCATGGGAAATACTTTGGCTACCTTGTTAAATAGCATATTTAATGGGTATGCCTTTAAAATATTTTTTTTTTGGGGGTCTCTTTTCACAATCTTTGATACAAAGATAAGAATTACTGAGCCTCTATGAACCTGAGTCTCCTCTTCCGAGAAAGTACCAATTCCTGTGCCTCCGGTTGAGAAGATCAAAGGAGCACAACCAGAGCAGTAAGTGCCCAGCAGGCAGTGAGTGTTCCAACTACTCCACGCCCCCAAGATCTGGCAGGCCCCAGCCTCTTCCCCAAGGGCATTGCTGCATCGAGCAAAACCACCCCAGTGAGGAAGAGGTGGGACCAGCCTCTTTGCAAACAGGGGCTGGGCCCCTGGCTGGCCTGAATGCTCTGGCCCTTCTCACCGCCCGGACAACTGGTCCATCAAGGGTGGGTGTGTCTCCATGAACCCTGTGTCCTCTTACCATCTCAGCAATGTATGCCTTTGATGGGGGCCCCCTCTAGGATCCAAGCCCAGTGGCGGGGGGCATCGTGGGGAGTCAGGGAACCCAGACATCAGATGAGCATGGCTGCGAAGTCACTTCTTGCCAGTCACAAGGTACAAAGGCAAAGACGAGTACCTTTCTCGAGTGGCCTATTAACCTAAGTGAAGAAGCCCAGCGCCAGAGAGGTGGCGGGTCCACTTCCTTTGCTTGGAAATGCACGTGCTAAGATGCCTACCTCAGTCACAGTAGGACCTGTGGGGAATGCCTGGGATAAACACCAATCTCAAAGATTAACCTTGGACTTCACACACCATGGCCACCACCTCCTTTCTCTCAGTGCCAACACTATATACAAACATGCCAAGTTCTTTAATTGATTTTATTTTTTACATAAAAAGTTCAGTAAAAATTGGATAAAGTAAAGTGATTTTAAGCAGTAAATCAATCTTATCAACATAGCACAAGGCTGGCCAAAACCACAAGGCAGCCTGCTTTGGAATATTTACATGATAACAAATTAAACCTTGCAGGAGAACTTAAACCATCCTTACAAAGTCTTCTGTGATCCTAGCACATAGAGGCTTAAAAGCAAAACAAAAAACAAAACCCAGGAAAAAACAAACAAATTATTTTCAATATATTCACATATACATTAAAATATAATACAGATGGTCAGGGTCGGGGTTGTGGGTGGGGATGCGCATGAGCCTGTGCGCTGACAGCACCGCCAAGGAGGAGACCCAGGTTGGAGTGGGGTCAGGCTGACCAGGTCTCAGAAGGGAAGGTCCCAAGGGCCTAACCCCTCGCCTCTGATGGCCTCTACCAACAGCTCACAACCAGGGACCACGTGTTGTAGATGGAGCTCAGTATTGTGGCTCTCAGTTGAAATCCGCAGGTTTGCAGTCCCCAGGGTGCTGTGTCCCCAGTAGCACACAGCCCTGACGGTGGGGTGGGGAGAGGGCCCACAGGACGTCGTCTCCCCAGGCTCTCCTACCAGCCTGCCCAGCCTCCCACCCTGGCCCCGCGGGTCACTCTAGCTCAGTGTCCTCTTTGGGTTTGTAAACGGCCCCAAACTTCTGCATGTACTTCTTAATGTACTCCTTGGTTTTGTGTTTCACATTCTCATTGCACTCCAGGTCCTCGGGGTTCTTACAGTACTTCAGCTCCTTGTTCATAACGCCATGAGTCAGCTGTCCAGGACACAGAGAGAGACCACAGGCCACCAATCAGAGTGGAAATGACTCAGGGGGGAGGCAGTCTTCTGCCCCGGAACCCTTCTCAGTGAATTAGATGCAGGGAGGTTGGGGCCGGCTGGCGCTGGGATCACCACAAACAGGAGGCTAGGCTGTTAGAGAACCGCTACCCTCCAGGAGAGTCGCCTCCCTTCCCAAATCTTCCCCCTATGTTCCTGGGTCTCCAGCCTGGGCATGTGGCAAGGAAAACCTCCCCTTTTATGATGAAAGGGACCTTTTTAGAAGGTCTAGTTTGCTGAAAACGTTGTCAGACCACAAGCAGGGGAGAATACCTTGCGAGCTAGGTGTTTGAAGTCTTCAGTTGTGGTGATTCTTCCCACTTTGCAGTCAGGTTTCCGGTAAGGGTTCAGGCACTGGACGATGAACTGGGACATCTGCAGGCAGAGAGGAGACAAGGCAAGAACGCTGTACTGAGGAAATGTAGAAAGGCAGCAAGCAGAGCCAGCCCGTCCTTCCCTTTCCCTCACGCGGGCTGGCTGGTATGGATTAGAAGGAGGCTAGTATGCCAGTGGGATGAGAGAGAAGGATCCGGGGCAGCCCCAAGAGGGACAGGGCTTCCCCAGATGGACTGGGCAGTGGAGGGATAGAAGAGCAGGACTCCACGCTGAACCTCATGGCAGCCCCAGGTTTCAGCTAAGAAGTCTCCTGTCCTCATAAAGAGACTGTAGCTAAATTCTCTGGCTCCTGGAGGCAGGGCAGAGAGGGCCTTTCTGTGCTACCAGGAGGCTCAGCGACCCCAGGAATGCAGGTGTTTTGTTATTGAAGACTGCTTAGATTCTCTAAGTGTTGCACTTCATGGGATTTACACAACATCAGTGTAAAGCAGACGGATGGTTGCATATTAGAGCAACTGGTTGGAGACCGTCTGGGGTAAGACCCTGGTCAGTACACAATTTCCCACGTCCTCCTGAGCTGTCTCTCTAGTGTCTGTCCTAGCCTGTGGCTCTCAAGAGTGATCTAGGTGCAGGACCTCTGGAAGTATCTGGGGCACTAAGCCACAAATTTGACTCCAGGGGACAAAGAGAGCGAGGAGGTGAGTCGCTTCATGAGGGAGCACCATGAACAGGGTCTCCCCATCCCTGAAAATGAGCTTTCAGACACTCAAACGACAAGGTTGTATCACCAGGTTGGCACTAAATAAACAGCTGTAAGCTGGCTGGGCTGAAATGCCAATCATTTTACACAATGACAGTGAAACACTAAGTTTTATCCTTGAGGAAGGCTTTTGATCAAAGGTGTTTCTGTGGTCTTCTGCTTCCATACTCTCTCCCTTCAATCCATTTCCCTGAGTACAACAGGGGATTTCATTATTCCCAGCTTAAAATCCTGCAGTGGTCCCCTGTAACTCAGTAGGAAGCAGCACAATACTGTTCAGCCTCATCTTCCCCCCACCACCCCCCACACCCTGAGCCACAGCCCCCAGAGGCCAGGAAAGGGATGCTGCCTTCTGCCTGCATTGCATATGCGGTCAGTCCCGACCGCTGACTCAAGAGCCCTTCCTCACACCCCGAGCAGTGACCTCCGAGCCCCATCAGTCTGCAGGTCTGCTTCCTCCAATGGACTATAAGCCCCTTCAATGAATGAAGACTGGAGTTTAGAATCTGGATGCCCCTCGGCAGGAAAGGTTAGTGTTCTGAGAACTGGAAACATATACTTCTAACAGCAGATAGAGGAGCTGCTTTCTCTCCACCACTAGA